CAGAAAAGTCCTAATGGACCTTAACTTATAATTAATTATATTTCATAATCAAGATCTCCAGATCACTTGAATACTTAGAAGTTCCCCTTTACGTTAAATAAAAATCACTCTTCGTCAACAATATATTATTGACCATTGACTTTTTTTTTGGAATATATATATATATATGAGCCAAATAATTTTCTATCATGTTTTCCAAATTGATTTCCACTTATAGGGGCATTAAGAAATAATGTTATGCTTTTGTTCTGGTAATGTTGATAGTTGGAGACTTGTAATCAAGAGTTGAGGAAAGGGAAGCTTTATTTCGTTTCTTTTTATTGTTTGAGTTGTTAAACTGTTGTTTATATTATATTGTGTAGCTTTGTTTGATATATATCGGATAATGAGACTGATGATTAAGTATGTCTTTGGGCTTTTATAGTTTTGCAAGATTGATTTTTGAAATTTGATTGTAGCATGAAGACTTGAAATCAAGTGTTGAAGAAAGGTAAGCTTTATTTGGTTTTTTCTAATTGTTTGAGTATTAAACTGTTGTTTATATTATATTGTGCAACTTTGTTTGATATGCATCGGATAATGAGAGTGATGATTAAGTATGTGTTTGGGCTTTTATAGTTTTGCAAGATTGATTTTATTTTATGTTTTTTTTTTTCTATGAAGTGAGAGTATAAGATTTTTTTTTTTTTTTTTTTTTTTGCAAGTGTTTGGCTTGTGTTTTTGTTTTGGTACTGTTGATAGCATGACAACCTCAAATCAAGTGCTGAAGAAAGGAAGCACCATGTTAATATTAATATTAGATGTTTTGTTCGTTTTCAAGAAACATATCTTAAAAGGCGAAATGAAGATATTGAGCGTCTGATTTATTCTGTTATTCATAGTGAAAGTGAAGAAGAAGATCAACGACCAACATATCTGAGTATGGAGAGTTCTGAGTCCATTAGGAAAGAGAAAAATCTGGAACAAAAAATTAATTACTTGATTCAACTAATAGAAAATAAACAGAGCGAGGTTACATCTCATGATAATTCTTGTACGTGTCAATTCACATACAGAAGTTTATATTTTAGTTCCCAGAAACAGGTATTATCAGTGTTGTTGTAAAAGTATTGTTTTTTATAATGACTTTAATTATTTTATTGATTTAATTATTTTTTTTTTTTGTGTTTTTTTTTTTATTTAAAAAAACACAGATTGAAGTTTTAATTGAGGAGAACCATAAACTTGCTTTGAAGTTGGAAAATGTGTTTGGTAAACTTGAAGTGATATGTTTGTTATGGAATTAATTTGTTTGCATTTGTGTTGTTTGCAAAGCGTGCTGAAAACATATTGTTGTTCAGAACATATAAATGATACAATTTAGTTTTATTGATTTTTGCCGTAATTAAGACAGTTTGATAAGATTTTTGGGAATGTGGAAGCATTTAAATATATAGAATTTGATTTTCATTATTAATCATATCTGCTTTTTATATTTGTCTGATTTATTTAATTGTTTTTATTTGGGATTCATGTTTTTTAATTGGTGTTGTTCGGAAACTGTTTTGAAGATATGTTCTTTAGCATAACATATATTTGTTTGAAAATATATGGACCGCTATTTCTATTGATATCAGTATCAATGTCTCCTCCCATTGATGTAAATGAGAATATCGAGTTGCACATTCTTATCTTGTTTTTGAATGTTTTCGCTTTAGAACCACTGTTTACATCCAATAATCCTTTCAATAGTTAGGTGGTTCTTTCAATGGTGGTTACTCAATTTTGCCATCCATACAACATGACAAAAATACAGGAGAAGTTATCTTTCTGCTCTTAATAGTACGTTCTTCATACCACATGATTGCTCCGCAATGCTTGCAAAGTTCAAAGGTTCCAATTCCACTGACAACAGAAATAACATTAATTTTAAACAAATATCAAAGATAATGATATTGTTAAACAAATGAACAAACTATAATAATTTGTTATGTAAATATATGTCTGAAGTTTATAACTTACTGTCACATATTTCTAAAGGAGTAAGCTTTGGTTTAGATTTTTTTCTTACATAATGACTATCACCTGCAAAATTTTATATATAGTCAGTTGCATTTCTCAAGAAAATTAAGAGAAAATAATTATATAACAACATGATTTTTCTGACCTCTCTTTCTTTTTAATACAAACATTCTGTATTTTTGTTTTCTTTGTATATGTGATCATTATTTTCAAAAGGGCCTAAGCAAATTTGCGAACCTACATTTGTTTTCAACACAGATTCTGATTGATTATTCGATATAGTTCCTGAAGTTGAAAATAACAACAATACAATTGTCATACTATTACAGGAGGAACAGGAAAACAATAATTGATTTATGTAATGATTTATTAATTACGTCTTTTTCTCTTTGATCCAGACATTGTGTTATTCATACTATCCCTGGTTTATCTTTAGTAGCTTTTGCAGCTCTTTGTTGTTTCAATACAATCATTCTCAATTTCCTATTTTCCCTGCACACTCTTCTTCTCAATTCACTGGCAGTTATATTTCTAGAATCAAATTCAAATTTATAACTTTGTATCGTTTTCAAATATAATTTTGCACTTGCTGAAACTCCATCAGTAGTTTCCATACTATACTTTTCCAAATCACCAAACAAAATTAGACTCTAACAATTTAATATTCACTGCTGTTTTTTTTTTTATAATACAATTATACACCTATGCTGATAATAATATAATAAAGTTAAAAAAGCGAACAGACGTCATGTCTTTTGCAATTGGAAAAAAATTTGGTTCGGCAAAAGCTTATGACATTGCTAGATTTTTGTATTATTGTTCGGCATAATTATAAAAATAAATTTACATAACAGTAATATACAATCACGTTCATGTTATTTACATACCTATGCTACATAGATGATTATTACATGGTTATATTATACATTATCATTTGGCAAAAATACAGAAGTACTACCTTAACACAATTCTAACGATCTAATACATTTTTCAGCATCCAGCATATCAAAAAACAATAATACACCAAATCAATGGGTGGGAATTGAAAATGTTAATTAACAAATCTATTACAATCAAAACAAAAATTATAGTTCAGTGAATGGTTTAGTTGAGTTTATTTAATATTTTCATACATTGGTGAATATATTAGAATCCTACAATCTAACCAACATAACTCTATCACCATTATAGAAAATCGCAGAATACAATGATATAGAAATATATATATATATATATAAAAAAAAGCTTCATTAAGTAGAACAATATTATAATTATAAAGTTGAAATTATCTTCGTCGATTGTATATACCTAAATCAAATAAAAACAAAAGATATTTACAACACATGGACAAGAATGAGAAGCATATAACAATCATCTATAAATTGTTGGATATATTGCAATTATAAAAAGTAATACATGTAGCATTTAAGTATTAAATTGTTAAAAGAATTAAGACCATTACATTACCTTTACCAGCAGGTATATTGTAGCTACAAAGAACAATTTTTATTTTGTTCTATAGATCATATATAAAATAATAAGACTAAATGACCAGGAAAAGAAAAAAACAATTGTCTATGAATCTAATATTGATTACATAATTATATTTATATGTATACGAAGTACATTAATTTCAACAATTCAATTAATGAATTACTAAACATTCAATTTTTACAATAGTACAACATATCAGTCACTTCATATTAACATAAATACCTTGAATGTTTTCTATTAACTTCACATAACAAAAGAAATTAACAATTTCTGCAATAGTTCAACGTATCAATCACTTCATATTCACATAAATACTTGAATGTTTTCTATTAACTTCACATAACAAAAAAAATTAACGTATACCCGTATACGTTCACATTAAGAAGCATCAACTGAAAGCAAATCAAAGAGACCAAATATAAATATATCAACTGATTGATATCTAACCGTTTGTAAAAAACATTACAATAACAGGTACAACGTATAAATCCTTTGACATTCAAATAAATATTTATATAGCAATTAATTTAAAAAACATTTTGTTAACAATATTTCACACTACAAGAAAAACTACATTCTGCAACAAATTTTTTAGCAACTAACCAGAATTAGTTATAGAAAGGTTACATTTACCAACTAAATTGCAATTAGTCGGGCAAAGAGGATTAAAATTTAGAGGTCCACATGTTCCAACTTTTGGCGTCTAAAGTTAATGTTTTGCGACTATTTTGTTAGTCACAGAATAGGTTGCTTTAGTGATTAATAAATTTAATTGCAATTTTTTGTGGGCGATTTTTCCCTCTATAATTTGATAATTTGCATTGAAAATATTATATTTTGCATCTACATTATTGGTTACAAAAAATAATTTTTTGCAACTACCCTTTAGTGGCTAAATTAGTTGCTAATAATTAGGAATTTATTAGTAACTATTATGATTAGTTACAGAAAAATGAAATTACCAAAATATCCTATATTTTGACAATAATTACAAGGGCCCCAAGGTATTTTTAGCAACAAATGTTTATGTTCATATTAACAATAGTTGTAAAATATTATATACAACAACTAAATTCGGTTTAGTTGCCAATTTAAGTTGAAAAATTCATGTTCCCCTCAAATTATTAGTTCCCGCCAGACTTCAATTATAGGCAACTATGACTAATTCTTTTCTGACTAAATATTTAGTTACAAATTGATTTGTTTGCAAAATATAATTATATTTAAAAATTAAACAACTAATTAAAAGCCTTACTTTTTAAAATTATTTACAAAAAACTCTAACCGATATAAAGCAAGCCTTTCCCCAAATTTCTAATTTCTTCTCCATGCAAATCCCTAGCTATTTTCCTGATAGAAGAAGTTTGAGTTGATGCTCATTTGATGGATTGATGGACCACGTTAGACTTGGTATGTATTGTGTTAGGAAACTGGTAATGTACAATTATAGGTGATTAATTTGATGGAATATTTAACCTTTCCCCAATAGCAGAGAAATCTTTTCGATGACGTTTGGCATCACGACGAGAGCGGCGTTTGGAGGAAAAATGAAAGATCAAAAGGCATTCGTATGTGCTATTGAAGAAGGTATAGATTTGGCAGGAGGTTTCACAGTGGCTGATGTGTTTCCTTCCTTCGAATTTATTGACTCAATCAGTGGGGTAAAGAGTAAAATTAAGGAGATTCATGACAGAGTTGATAGATTGTTTGACGCCATTATCGATGAGCATAAAAGTAGAAGGGCAACAAGGAAGACAAATGAGCGTGAAGAGGATGATGATCATAAAGATTTCTTAGATGATGATCATAAAGGTTTCTTAGATGATGATCATAAAGATTTCTTAGACGTTCTTTGGAACTTGCAGAATAATGGAGACCATGATTTTACCTTTAGTAATGACAACATCAAAGCAGTTATTGTGGTTAGTATGTTTAATTATCTTTTATTCGTATCAGATTCAGCATAAGTTAAAACTGATTTTTAGTAAAATCTATGCTAAAATATTTACCTGTTTTAACTCTGCTATTTTAGGACGTTTTCACTGCTGGGGTGATACATCTTCTACAACTGTTGAATGGGCAATGTCAGAATTGCTGAAAAATCCAAGAGCCATGGAGAAAGCACAAGCAGAGGTGAGGAATGTGTTCCGTATGAAAGGAACAGTTGATGAAGAAGGGCTTCATGAATTGAATTATTTGAAGGCAGCAATCAAAGAATCTATGAGATTACACCCCGCTGCTCCGTTGCTACTTCCAAGGGAATGTAGGAAAAGCTGTGAGATTTTCGGATACGAAATACCTGTCAAGACTAAAGTTTGGTAAATGCATGGGCAATAGGGAGGGATCCCAATCATTGGAGCCAAGCTGAGAAGTACTATCCTCAGAGATTTCTAGACAGTTCAATAGATTACAAGGGGGCTCATTTTGAATTCATCCCATTTGAAGTTGGAAGGAGAACTTGTCCTGGCATAACAATGGGTGTAGCCAATGGCCCAGTTGCTATGTCATTTTGATTGGAAACTTCCCAATGAAGATCTTGACATGAGTGAGGGTTATGGTCTCGTAGTGCGAAGAAAAAATGACATTGAATTAGTTCCAATTCCTTATCAGCCTCCGTCTCCTTGCTAATTGGAGAAATTATATGCTGCAATAAATATGGATATTAGTTTGCTTCAGAAGTTATGTTTTGTCGCTTGTACTAAATATTTAATATGGTCCAGGAGATATCAATTAACGAGAGATAGAACCGTGTAATTTTTTTTTTTTTTCAATAACTGAGGTTATTCTGAGCCCACCTAATCCTCAGAGGCACAGAACATCCTAAAAGACTTGTTATCCAGCCACAAAAAGAGAGATAAGCTTGTAACTTGTTGTAATAAGAATTAGTATATAAGGAAATATAAGAGTAAAAAATTAATTGTGTGGAGATAATATAAATTGAGCTGTGACCTTATTCATTACCGTTATATATCTCTCCATAGAAATTTCAGTGCAGCTGATATTAGGTTAATTTCTTGTTGGAATTAGTTTCATTTGTGTTTAAACTTTGAGGTTTTGGAATGATGTAAATTATAAGGTTTTTAAAATTGCAGTTCTTTAATAAGTTCTTGCACGGGAGATTTTTTTTAAGTACTCAATATAATTGTAAGGCTAAGTTGAATCATTTAGGGATACCACTTTGACTTGAGGTATATTTACTGTATGTCAAGTTTGGGGTGTTACAGCTGATGTGTTTGCTTCTTTCAAAATTGACGACTGAATCAGAAGAGGAAAAATAAATAATAAACTTGACGGGGTTCATCAGAGAATCAATGGAATTCTGGAAAGTACATTAGTGGCTTGTGCTGCATAATGTTTTAATCTTGAGAAATGAAAAGTTATGGAAAAGGCTCAAGTATAGGGGAGGAAAGTCTTCCGTATTAAAGGGAAGGTTCACGAAACAACCTTCATGATTAAAATACTTGAAGTCAGTCTTCCCAATCAGTAGGGTACATGACTGAGGCTTCTGGTCTTTCGGTAAGAAGAAAAAATGTTATGCACTTGATTCCCATTCCTCACTATCTTTTCAATTAAAAAGAGGAGAAAAGACAGAGAATGAGTTGACAAATACTCTTAATTGTTCTAAAAATAAGTTAAGGATTTTAATTCTTGACAGATTGTTGATAATTTATGAACTGTTAAGAATTTGAAATAATTATTGACCGTTTTGGATGATTCTTGACAGTTATTAACTGTGAAGAATTTGGTTAAAAATAATTTTTGTGAATCTTGTTCTTGACTACTATAGTCTCAATCTTTGACAGTTAAAAACTATCAAGGATTAAATATATGAAAAACAAAAATATTTTGCCTCAAACTTTTTCCGCCCATTTTTGCCACCCACTTTTCATTGACTATTCCCACCATTTTTTCCCTAAAACTTTTGCTGACCGGCCATTTCACTCATTCGTGCAAACCCTTATAGTCGACCTACTCTTGACACTAGAAAAAAGGTTCTTGTTTCTACTACTCCCGTTCAGTAGATGATGACTCGCGCATTGACTCTGGCGCTTACTCCGTGCCTATTCCAATGGAGATTGTTAATTTCGGTGAGTTCTTGGCAAGGCGTATCCCCAACGCCCAAATGTAGGAGTGTTTAGAAAAATATATAAATCGAACCAAGAACAGAATTGGTTTTTCGATTATTTAGAAAATTGGTTCGGTTTTGGTCCATAGTGTTGGATATGGTTCATACTTTGCATTAGTTTAAAGTCCCCTACGTAGACGCATTCAGCGGTCTTGATTATTTAAAATTTTGAAATTTGTATTATGAAGGTATATGTACACACTAGAAAGTATTAAATTATACAATTATGATTGGCCATAATACAAAAAAATTTGATAAGCTTAAGGGTTATACTTTGTGAAATCTTTCACAAAATTTTTAGAAATTTAAGTATTATTATTAATATCTTATAAAATTTTGAAGTTTCTATTACTCTAAATTGAAAGAAGAAGAAAAGGCTTAAAAGCCTAAACAGATGGCAACTCAAAGCCCAACCCATTATAAATTTCGCACGTGCCAGTCGAAACATAGAAATCGGAGTTGACAAACAAGGGTTTGATCTAGGGGTGTTTGTCTGAGCTTATGAAAATTAGCTTATAAGCAACAAGTACTTATAAGCTAATTTTAACTTATAAGCATTTAAAATTTTAAGCAATTACGTGTTTGGTTAAAGTACTTATAAGTGATTGATAAGTAGTTGACATGTTTGGTAAAATATGGCTTATAAGTACATTTTATTATAAAATGACTAAAAGAGGTACTACATTAAACAAGGGTATACTATGGAATTTTAAAATTAAATAAGGATAATGTGGTAATATACTTGGTCAAACTAGCTTATAAGCAGAGTGCTTGTAAGCCAAAAAAAAAAAAAAGTACCTCTCCCCAACTTATTTTTTTTGGCTTATAAGCTCAACTTATAAGCTCAAAAAGATTATAAACAAACATGTCAGCTTAATTTTAGAGCTTATAAACAAGTTTGACCAGCTTATAAGCTTAGACAAACACCCCTTTATTTGCGAGTAAGAGAGAAGGATTAAAACAAAAAAAATGGTGATGGCGATGGTGAGATCTGGTGTCTTTAGAACGGCTCTTCGCGGAGGTTCTAGAACATCTGCTGCTCCTCCCAAGCGAGGATTCGCTTCTTTAGGTCATCACGCCGCCGCCTGTAAGCATCCCTAAAATGTTTCGTTAATCTAGGTTTTGATTCTGATTTGATTCATATTTTAATTTAGTCATCATATCACATGCATTTGATATATTTGCGATTTTGGTCTGTATTTTGAAGGATTCTGTGTTACAATTTTGTTTTTTGTTTTGTAATTTTGAGGATTAGATTATGTCATGAATCGTGAATGGGGCGTGGGAGTTCCTCGATTTTTTATGAAAGGCCTATAAAATTTGGAATCTCTTTGAAGATGAGAGTAACAAGGAAACAGTTTATGTGGCATGTTTAGTTGTGTTTTTGGGTATATCGAAATGAGAATCTAAATATTTGCTGTCTATATAGTTTGTGTATTTAGAAACATCTTTTTTAAGATTTCAATTGGTTTGATTGATTTACTTGAAAGATTTTGATTAGACGAGACGGCGAAGTGGGAGAAGATAACATATTTAGGCATTGCTACATGCACTGTGCTTGCTATTTACAACCTCTCAAAGGGTCATCCCCACTATGAAGAGCCTCCAGTGAGCTTTCTTTTATTTTTCTCTTTTGCTTAAGATTCTTTCTTGAATTTATTGCGGTTATTTTTGGTGTTTGTAGAGGTTTCTACTATATGCATTATGACAAACATTTGAATGCCGTCTACTTGTATGCAACCGTAACCATATTTGCACATTCGCAACAAGGAGTTTCCATGGGGTATGTTTTCATAGTTAAATCAATTTGTTTTTGTCTAGAGCCCTAGAAGAAGAGATGTCTATTTTGTTGTTACATTGATTCTGTGTTTGATGGCACTTTTTGTCTTGACATTCAAACTTTGGTTTGCCTTATTGATTGCTTGTTGAGTTTGGCATTAAGTCTTTGCTTTAAGTTCTTTGGATACCCTAAATAATTAGCAGTATTGATTTATCTTTTCTTTGCTTCTTGTGCCTTGTTGAGTTCTTTGGCATTATGTATTGAGTAGATTTATTTTGCTCTGTTGTTTCATTCTCACTATTTGTAAAATACATTTCTCAGGTTGCAGAGAAGCCTAGCATTACTCTCTCAATTGCTACCGTGCTCTCTTGTGGCAAAGTACTTGCCCTTTGCTCTCTTTTGTTGCTTTTTAGATAATTAATTCATTTACTTTTAATACTGCAATGTTTATAGCGCAAGAAAACAAGTGAATTTGGTGTATCTAGCTTATTACGTTTAAGTTGAATGAGAGTTATTGATAAAACATATCTTTGATAATAAGTCTTATCCTTTTGATGGAATTTCATTCTCATTAAGAGTTTATGTATGGAAAGGTTAGTTTTTCATAATTGTTTAATTTATGTTAGCTTTTTTTTTAAACTTATGTAAATATTTACCTTTAAAATTTAAAACTAGGGAATTGAAGTTTAGATTGATAATCTGTGAGATACTTGCTTTTCTACTCCATCAATTTTATTTTTGTTTGGTGCTGCAGTATATTTTGTGAACTTTGAGTAGTCTTTCTTTTATGTTGCTATTTCATAAGTTTTTGTCCCATATTGTATACCCCAGAATAATTATAATGTATTTGTAATTATTTAGTTTCTTGATTGACTTATTGATGATGCATTGAATTGATGGTAGGAAAAAATGATAGAGCTGCAAGATGAAACACAAGCAGGGGAAAGTGAAAAAACAGAAGCAGAAATATGTGAGGAAGTTTTGGGTAAAGCTTTCGGATTTAACCAAAATTTTGCATTTTCACAGACTGTGCATCATGATACTGCAACAGAAGCAGAGTTAAGGTGCATAGTGCAACAAGAAGAAAATAAGATTTAATAGTTGGAGGAGCAACTCATCTTATTTGATCAACAAAAACAGAAAATAAAAAGCTTTGAACAACAACAATTTGTCTTGTTGGAGATGATGAAGTAGCTAACTATAGCCCTTGAACTACAACAATCTAGTAAAGCTCCAACTCGACAGCCACTGCCATCTCCAACTGATGAAAACTCATTCTCATAAGCTACAACTATTTCAAAAACCTTAACTGATGACACTTGAGATGCCAACAATATTGATGGTTAGTTTTTTGTTGTATGGGCAGTAGATATTTTGACATGGGGGTAGGACCATCTTTTTAGGATTGTTTGCATA